CGATCTCAGCCTTCCAAGTAGCCGGAATTACAGGCATGCGCTACCATGCCCGGCTGATTTTTTGATTTATTGTAGAGATGAGGTCTCCCCTTTGGGTCACTCTGTCATGTAGAACAGGGGTGGAGGGGCTGGGGGAACAGGGTGGGAGGAATGCAAGGCAGAGGGACGAATGGAGTGGTGAGGACACTGCAGTAACCTTGGAGGACAGCTAAGATCTGACTTACAGAAGTGAGGGGTGGAGGAGGCATTTGAAAACTACTCGGGAGATTGACCAAAGTCCTGATGCTCAGTCTTATGTTGAACTTCAGGGTGAGGGAGTTGATGACAGTTGGTGTTCTGGACTGGGGTCCTGAGTAGAGATGGAGATCCTGGTCACAGTGATGGGCAGAACTGGACAGGGCAAGGAGCCGCCTTCTGTTGTGGACACATTAGCCTGTAGGGTTGATTGTGTTTTGTGTAAATGGAATTGAACAATATGTGGTGATTTTGTGACTGGCTTCTTTCACTTAGCATAATGTTTTCAAAGTTTGTCCATGGTGTAACATGGCTCATTACTTCATTCATTTTAATTGCCAAATAATATTTCATTGCAAGAAGTACCACATTTTATTTACACATTCATCCACTGATGGACATTTTGGTTGTTTCTACTTTTTGGCTATGATAAATAATGCTGCTGTGAGCAGTCATGTACAAGTTTTTGTGGGAACATCCTTTTTTATTTTTCTTGAGTATATATACCTGCAAGTATAATTGCTAGCTAAGAGTACAAATGGCAACTTTATGTTTAACATTTTGAAGAACTACCAGATTATTTTTACACGTGCCCCTCTATTTCTAGGAAAATTTTTTGTTTGAAAGTCATATTGCTTGATATTAGCATAGCAATTATAGCTTTCTTCTGGTTATTATTGCTTTTCTTTCTTTTCTCTCTCTCTCTTTCTTTCTTTCTGAGTAGGAGTCTCTCTGTTGGTGATCCTTTTGCCTCAACCTTCCAAGTAGCTGGAACCACGGGCATGTACCACCATGCCCAGCTAATTTTTTGATTTACTGTAGAGACAAAGCCTCACCAAGTTGTCTAGGCTGGTCTAGAACCCCTGGACTCAGGCAATTCTCTCATCTCGGCCTCCCAAAGTGCTGGGATTACAGGCATGAGCCACCACCCCGGCTAACCTTTCTTTTTAAGAAAAATGATTTTTATCACGAATGCATGTAGCCAAAAGTAATATATTATTTAGTTATGCATGTTTTGAGCTGTATAAAAGTAGTGTCACATAATAAATGTGGTCAGCTGGACTTGGTGGCTCAGCCTGTAATCCCGCGCTTTGGGAGGCTGAGGTGAGTAGATTGCCTGAGCCTGTGGGTTCGAGACCTGCCTGGGCAACTTGGAGTGACCTCATCTCTACAATAAGTCAAAAAATCTGGGCATGGTAGCGCATGCCTGTAGTTCCAGCTACTTGGAAGGCTGAGGCGGAAGGATCACCGGAGCCCAGCAGGTCGAGGCTGCGGTGGCTGGGAGCATGCCATTGTACTACAGTCTGGGCGACAGAGTGAGACTCCAACTAAAAAAAAGTAAATAAATAAATGCAAATAAATAAATAAATGTGGTCTACTTGGTCCTTTCACTCAATGTGCTATTCCTAAGACTCACCTATGTTGTTGTATGTAGCTACAATATCATTAATTTATGTTCATTGCTGTATAATATCCCACTGCGTGACCCTACCATGATGTATTGATTCATTCTCTTGGAAGTGGCTATTTGGCACATTTCTAATACTTTGCTATGACAATTTACTGCTGCTATAAACATTTGTATACACTTCTCCTGTTCTCTTGTTCTCAAAGCAACTGTCAGTATCACCATTGGCTAGGAACTTGTTAGAAACACAAATTCTCTAGCCTCACCCAAGACCCATGGCATCAGAAACTCTGGGGTAGACCCAGAAATCTGCAGTTTAATCAGAGTCTCCAGGTGACTCTGATACCCCGTAGTTTGAAGTACCCTGCTCTAGGGTACACACTAGGAGTGAGATTTCCAGATTGCAGCAGACACTTGCTGTTTTCTAGAGTGGTTGTTCCATGTTATGTTTCATTGGTGTGTGCACGAGTTCCCGTGGAGACATACCCTCAGCACTTTGTATTGACAGGCTTCTTTGCAGTGCTCTCCAAGGAGGTTGGTCTGACTGGTCTTCCCCAAAGAGAAGCATGGGTGCGGCAGTTGATTTCTCCTTCCTGTCTGTCTTCCCACCCTCCCTTGGCCAGGTCATGCCCTGTCTCAGGAACCAGAGTTGCACCAGGCATGCCGGCAGCTTGGCTGTTGCTTCAGCGTGGATTTGTTTTGACAGGAGTATATGCACCATCTGCTGACCCTGGAGCACCGTGCGGAGGAGCAGTTCCTGGAGCACTGGCTGAACCCTCACTGCAAACCCCACTGTGACAGGAATGTAGTCCATCCTGTGTAAGGGGCTCCGAATCAGCCTTGGTACGTCCCCATCTCCCAGGTTGTCCAAGGGGGGTGGTAGGGGACAGCAAATGCATGGGTTAGGAGATTTTTTTGTACTGTGGAGTCAGGAGGACTGTGGGTCAGGGGTGGCAAGAGCAAGGCAGGAGAAATGGGAAACACAGGTTGAGAGGAGTACAGGGGACACTGGCCTCCACTGAGTCACCAAGAGATCCAAAGCAAGGAGGGGATGTGACCCTATTTTCCACCCAGAAAAGTTCTCTCTGGAATCCGGATCTGGAGAAGCATGGCTTGTTGAGACTTGGGTCTCTCCCAGTGGGTTCAGCATCCCTGGGGTCAACCTGTGACATTCACCACAATCATCACCATTGTCATAGGATCAGCAGCTTCTTTCCCAGGTATCGCTCCCATTCTCCACTGCCTTCCGGCAGCCTTCAAGGCTGGCGATCTGCTCAGCTTGCTATGTCTTCCCTCTTCCCCTTCTCTGGGTTTGCTCTCTCAGTCCCCCTGCTCGGTGTTCCTGGCACACCCTGCATACCTCAAGTCTGCACCTCTGTTCCTACACGAGGCTGTCTGTCCTTGTTATCTTCCCCCTCTTTCTAGATCCTGTTAGATAAGGTAGCAAAATCCCGTCAGAAGGAAAGCTCCATGAATTTCATTCCACCTCTGACCAAGCAGGGCAAAATATAATTGGGTAGTCTATTATCTGTAGTTAAGAGAAATCTTATGTCTTTGTTGTTTATCTTGTGCTGTGAGTTGAAACAAGGACACTCTCTTGAGAGTATCACTTTTTATAATTTTCAGCGTCTATCACATAACTTCTCTCACTGATCCTCTTAACACCCCGGTGTCATTGTAGGACATGCAATTTAACCTCATTTTAGAGAGGAACTAACTGAGCATGATTAAGCTACTAACTCATGCTAGGTGGGGTCAGGCTTCTGACTATTGCAAATCTCACGTGCTTTTTGTGGACTATACTGCTCAGTCCTGTGTGTGGGGGGGGTGGGGCATGTAATCCCTCTGAGGGGCTTTCACAGCTCATGGGAGGATCATCTGCTGGGGGTGGAAAGAAGTGCTGCTTTTGAGGAGTGGGGCTGGGCTGACATCCCTCTTCTGGTCCTTTCAGTCCCGGGAGCTCTGTTCTAGGTCAGGGTTCTGGTCTGCCTGGGCTTGGCTTCTGACTCCCAGGTTGCTGCTCTCTAACCCCCATCCCAAGGACCTTCGTCTTCCTGCACTGGAAGTCCTCCCTTGGCCTCTTCCAGAAAAATAGAACCGTGGAGTAGTTAGATCCTCAGACTCTGCTACTAGTCAGAGCTAGTCCAGCTCTGTGGACAAGCTGGGACTCTCTATGCCCCAGCTCTGTGACCTTGGGCAAGCCGCCTAACCTCTCTGAGTCTCTGTTTCTGCCTCTGTGAATTGGAGTAATAATGATGTCTAGGGAGCCTGGTGCATAGTAACCAACTCCATAAATGAAAGCCACTTGTTACTGTTGTGCAGTCCTGGGGAGAGGAGAGGTTTCTGGGTTGCTTGAACCTCACAACAGCAACCTCCAAGGGGCAGCTGCGGTCTCTGTTTTCTGGTAGGACAGGCCCTATGGGTGAGCCAGGGGCCTGGTTCTTGCAAATGTGGAGTTCCACAGAGGCCCCACTCTAGGCAGCTCCCATTTCCATGAAGACGAGGAAGCAGTGGCTGGAAGGATGTGCCAGCTTGGAGTTTGGAGTCAGATCGCTTTCAGATGCTGAGTCCACTAGTCACCGTCTTAATAACCTTGGGAAAAAATACCTGGTTATACAATTTCCTCATCTGCCAAATGAGGATAGCAATAGTCCTTCCCTCATGGTTGCGCTGAGGATCAAAAAAGGTCAATTCTGGAAAATAGTGTTGCCCGGACACGCACACAGGAAGTGCCCAGGAAATGACAGCTAGAGGCCTGTTTGCTCTTCCTTAGTTTCTCCTTCTTTTTCCTTAGTCTTCTTTCTCCCTTCTTCTCCTCCTCTTTCTTGTTCTTCAACATCATCAGCCTGACCACCACCATCATCAACATCACCACCATCACCACCCACGCCACCCC